CCCCGTGTCCATCCCCAGGCTTTTCGTCCGGAAGCAGCGGGCTGCTGACCTCGGCGAGATCCAAGCGGAGACCTATTTCAAAGAGTACGTAACCATACCAGTGATTCGTGGCATCATGCAGGAAGTGGAGGACATGTTTTCCGACAACAACCTGAAAGCTCTACGGTGCCTATCTCTGGTTCCGGCTGTCATGGGCCACATGAAGTTCAACACCACAGAGGAGAGCTACGCAGAGGTCTACTGTGGCGACCTCCCAAACCCAGACACGCTTCCTGCCGAGCTCCACTGCTGGAGAATCAAATGGAAGCACAGAGGGAAAGAGGTGCGCTTACCAACCACCATCCACGAAACCCTGCAGCTGCCAGACGTGAAGTTCTTCCCCAACGTTGACGCAATCCTGAAGGTGCTTTCCACTATGCCGGTACTTAAAGTCCAGAAGGGCACAGGTGACACCGCAAGCGAACGGCTGCAGGCTTACCTCAGCAGCATGCCTGCCAAGCATTTAAACAAAAGTCTTGCGATGCTTCACATCAACTCCCACGTCAAACATGACCTGGATGTCATGGTGGACAAATACTGCAGGCTCTATCCTGAGGATGACTCTGAGGCTGAGCCCGAGGATGTGGGCGAAGACGTTATCGTGACAAAAGTGATCTGAAGCTATGGGTCAGACCTTGGCACCAGCCGGTATCAGATCCTCAGTTTTCCTTGGTGTTAATACCGTGGATTTTAGTCCATCAACCTCATCTAATTCTTTTATGTGAAACCGAAAGGGAGGTTATAAACTGATGAATATTAACTCTGTTGTTTTTTTTTTTTAGAACATTCTTGTTTTGATATATATTTTTTATACATAGACAAAAGCAACAATTTAGAATATAGAGTGAGGGTTCCCTGTCAGAGCAGGAATGTTTCTACAGGTTTAAGGACAGTGGCTCTTGAGAACTTTAAATAGACGTCCATAGCCGACAAAGAACAGAGTTAAAGGTGATGATGCCGTTATGCTACATGTTCATATTTCCAAACCAAAAAATACGAGTCTTGGTGGGTTGAGAAATGTTTTGTTGTTCTTTTTCCTAGCAACGTGTGGGGGAGGGCCCCAATGTGTTATTCTTGTCTCTCATATTATTGTAGAAAGATCAAACCAGGAAAAGGTTCTGAAGCCTTAATGTTTCCAAACCTCTTTAAACCTAGATGAGTTACTAACCAGTAAGACCTTAAGAAAATGACAAAGCTTCAAGTTGTTAGCAGAATCAGCCAGATGTTCAGTCAAGTTCAAACTAAAATTAGAAAGGATATGAAGAATTTTGGATTTTCATCATATAACGGTGACAGTTTTGAAAGACTACTGCTGAAAATGAAAAAAACTTCAGTCAAAGGCTTTATTATGTGATGTTCAAATATTCACTGTTTCTCCATGCCTGTTTGTTTACTTTGTAAGGACACTCTAATGCAGTGAATTCAATCTTTTTTTTTTTGCCCTCTAATGTTTGTGACTGTGGAGATGAGCAGAAAACTCAATTTTTAAATAAAATCACACAATGGATGCATTCTGGCGAAACGAGTGTGGCTATCCATTGCCTAATGCTTTTCTGTTTTAGCTAGCGCTAGCGTGCCACACTGTCACTTCAAGACACCTTCTTTTGGAAGGAAGGACCAGGACTAAATGAAATGTGATTTAACTGTTTTCTGCATGTACACTGATGTAGAAAGTATGATTTTTCTTCTCTGTATTGTATATTCTACATGTTTTGTTTTGGATAATCGGTTGTTGAAATTTTGATTAAATGCTTTATAAATGAAAGTCTTAATTTTTATCTTCTGCAGAAATAATGATTTCCATAACACATTATCATAGCTTATAACATTTTCTCCTAACTTTTGTAGTTTTGTTTGCTCCAAATAATTCCATGTTTCAAAAGGGGAGATAAATGGTAGGCATAATTGACAAATTGCATGTTATAATTTACAGAATTTCATGTCAGAGCATATTCAAATGTTTTCATTGATTTCTGTCCAAAAATCTAAGATGAAATATTCTGCACTGTCACTGGTCCATCAAGTGGACCCTAACAGCTGATTGGTTAAGTTGCACGGTAAGTAGACCAATCACCTCCTGCCTTTCTCATCAGGGCCAATCCAATGCTCTGGACAATATTAAGTCACCTGATAACTGTTGTCTAGTGCAGGGTTCTCCAATTCCAGCCATTGAGGTCCAGTGTCCTTCACCTTTCAGGTGTGTCTCCACGTTTACACTCCCAAATCATGTGGCCAAATTATTTTCTAAGTAGAGACTATATATATATATATATATATATATATATATATATATATATATATATACATATACACATATATAGTTTTGTTTGTTTCTGTGCATTTAACAAAGGATAGAAAATGGAGGGCGTGGCAATGCATGGGCTTTATGTGATCTCAAGGTTTGGCTGCTAAATGCACAAATGAATTATGCACATATCGGCCAATACAAAAAAAAAAAAAAAGCTAAAGTTGGCCAAAAACATCAGCCGGTTAATCTATTGGTCTATCTCAACTCCTCGAATGATGGTAGACAAACTGGAACTACAGCCTTTTGAAAATGAGCTACAACTAAGTCGGGTTACAAAAATGTAGTACATGGCTGAATCCCCCCCAACATGTACATTGAAGGCTGTGCCTTCATGTACTGTGAAGGATTGTAGGATTCAATACAGCTACTAGTTGCTTGGTATCAAATAGGAACTTTTAAAGCCTTCAGCTCTTTTCAATTTTTTATTTGATGTGTCCAACTATTTACTTCGCAGTAAAGTGTTTTTTGTCAGATGAGTTTGCTGGAAAATCCAGCACAGTGACACACCATGGTCATTAAAGTGGTATCGAGTAGTTTAGCCAATGTGGTCAGGTGCCAAAGTCATGTTTTAAATTGAAGGCTGCTATCAACACCTCTAGATTATAGCTGATAGAGTAGGGTGTGTTTTTAGTGTTGAGTCCGGTTTCTCTCCTATTCAATTAGCTATGACGTAACTCTCTTGTCTCCCTGTCAGATGAAAACCAGCTCAAAGCTTGTCTGTAAGTCTTTTGTCTCCTTGGACCCAAATGGCCAATTTATACTTCTGATGCATAGCCTTTGCAACCGTCAAATCTGTCTCTGTGCGCGACCACGCCCCCTGCACAGAGGCTCTGTGAAACATCTGATCGTCGCACACCTCCTTACTACACGTCGGATGGTCGCAAACCCATGCAGACCTAAAGCGAAAGTGCGCAGACAAAGAGCAGCTGTGATTGGTCCTTGGTATGCCTTTCCAGCAGTCTGTGTGGTCGACCTTTGCGATTCGGTGCCGGGTCGTGCCATTTTTAAAAACCAAGGAATAACAACAATGGATACTCTAGATCAGGCATCCCCAAACTCGGTCCTCTAGGGCCGCTGTCCTGCAGGTTTTAGAGGTTTCCCTGCTTTAGCACAGCTGATTATGATGATTGCAGTAGAGCAAAAGCCTGTTAATCAACTATCAATTAAAATCAGCTGTGCTGGAGCAGAGAAACATCTAAAACCTGCAGGACAGCGGCCCTCGAGGACCGAGTTTGGGGATGCCTGCTCGAGATCCATCTCCATTACAGTGATATCTTCCAGTCACGCGCCATTGTTGTTTTGGAAAAGAAACACTGCTGCTGGTGCCGCCGAAGAAGTTCTCGTGACCATTCGCTGAAGTTCCCGCGAGTTCTCGAATAGGCTTCTGCTCGCGCTTTGGTGGGAAACTGCTGTGCATCCCTAGAAATTCCAGACAGACATTGCAGAAGCATACCAGCAAAACTGGTTCGCGACCACACGCAAGCGACATTTGATGTTTGTGGTTGCAGAAGTATAATCCGCCCTTAAGTCACACTGGGCAGATGGCCACTCACACTGAGTATGATACTGCTGGAGGTTTCTTCATGTTAAAAGAGAGTCTTTCCTCTCCACTGTCACAGCATGCATGCATGCTGGGTGTGAGAGATTTCCGTCAATCCCTTGATACACTCTGCTGGTTTTCCTTAAAAAAACCTTCTTGGGGTAGTGACTTGGGGCTAAATAAATAAGTTGAATTGAAAAGGACATTGGTTCAGTTTTTTACTCCTTCACCTAGCTAAAATGTATTCCTGTTGCTTCTCTCTTTTGTTATATTTTTTCCTTTCGCTCAACTTTCCAATACAGGATCTATGTATCTTTCTTCTTTATCTATAATCTCTATTAGACACTCTGTTTGGAAGGAGTCGGGAGTATTTCAAACTACCGTATGAAGAGCAAGGGCAGAGCTAGATGGGGGGCCAGGGGTGGCCATGGCCACCCCGACCCTTTATTTCCCTCTAATACAGATGGTGGCAGCAGTACTCTCAAGTAGAATATTCATTGAAATTTTTCATATATTACTTACTATTTTTTCTTGTATTCATAATTTCTTGAAAACAAAAACACAATTGTTAATTATTCACACCAATATACTAACAGTAAACATGATAAGTACAGGATTCATGCTCTTTTCAAGTCATCTAGGAGTCTTCAGTGAAATCATAGATAAATAACTATTTTAATAAAAACGTATTAAACAATCGATTTGTTATTATTTGTACTAGTAAATATCAATTTTAATCAGAATGATTAACTATAAAAGTAGGTAAGTAATGATGATGGAAAAGATGTTTGCCCCGGAACTCAAACCTGAAAATATTTAATCCACTATACCTTTTATCTAGAAAGCACGGATGTTTAAATATATGCGTCTATTTAAGGTTGTAGTTAGTCTCATCTTAGGCTTGACCCTGAGGTTCGGGTGCCTATCCACTTTCAGCCCCCCCTCAGTGTTCATTGGTTATTGCCTGGCCACCCTTATACAAATTTTCTGGCTGTGCCTCTGGTGAAGAGAATAATATGGCAGTACATAGAACGTTTTTGCTATAACATTTAATTTATTTTCTGGGTTTTTTTTTTATAAATTTTTATATTTTCTAACAAGACATCAGGGGGTTAACTGCATCTCCTCCATGCCGGACGCACGCAGACCAGCTCAGGTGATTTCACGCAGGATTTCTCAGATGTGGGGTGGGGTCGCTTTGATGCGCAACGAGCCAGCGATGTGTCCACGCTAGCCTCAAACTTCAGTCAGCAGGAGGAGGCAGAGGGTGGCTTTGGTGATCTGTTCAAGGGGAACTGGAAATTTGGATACTCCTACATTGCACGTTACGAGTTTTGTTTTTTTGTTTTTTTTCCTTCTTTAATCCAAGGATAGAGCTTGTTCATCTTTGGTTGTGCACTTCCTCTGGTTGAGAGTTATGGCCTGGCCATGCATCACGCGTGCTTGCTGCATCAACCGCTTTTGGACCGAGCTGGACAAGGCGGATATCGCAGTGCCTTTGGTCTTCACCAAATACTCGGATGTGACCGACGTCCAGCACATCCCCCATCACCCGCAGCTCAGGCAGAAGAGGGCCGCCGCGGCCATCGCCATAGAAACGCAGCCGCATCCCGAAGAACGAGAGGCCGCCAAGGCACCGCCCGCTGCAGGGGGGGCCGCAGCGGCCAAAGATGGGGGGTCCTCTGCGTCTGTGATGCGCCAAGACTTCAAGGCGTGGAGAGTGCGCCCCGAGCCCAGCTGCAAGCCCAGGAACGAGTACCAGCCTCCGCCGGCTCCGTTCGGCAACGAGACACAGTACCAGAAGGATTATAAGCCATGGCCCATTCCCAGGAAGTACGACCACCCATGGATCCCCAAACCCAGTCCCACCGCCGGCTCCAAACTGGAGCTCGTGGCTAAAGAGAGCGTGGAGAACCCGCTGAGCGGCGTGGAGAAGAGCGAGATCGAGGAGAAAATTCAAGAGAAGGAGTCAAAGGACGCGGCAAGGAGGGAGAAGTCTGCAGAGAGGAAAGTGGCGGAGAGAAGCGAGGGATCCGCAGAGGTGAGCGCAGAGAAACGGAGAGGAAGAGCAGCTGCGGATGCTGTGAACAGACAGATAAAGGAGGTTATGTCGACTTCTAGCAGCTACAGGTAAGAGCTTACAACATGTAACCCTTAGCTGCATGACAGCATTTATTTACCTGTTGGGATTGTTTATCTTTGCAATAAAACAAATGTCACTTTGTCAGTGGAAACACGCCTTAGGGCACTGAAAAGGTTAAAAGTTATTGGAGAAAAAGTTCCCCAAAACGTAAGATATCAACTAAACAAAGAGTTAATCATCAGGTGGGATAGTCCTGTTGTATCTGAATGACTGTCATATTTTTATGTAGGCCTATTTATCTTTTTTTAGAAGTTTATTTATTTTCCAGTTCTTCCCATTTCCTTCTGCAGCTCAGTTAAAGATAAAAGTCAATACTTTATTGTTAAGTTGAATTGATTCCAGAATATGAATCCTAAAAAGAAAAAATCAGTGACTCCATCTGGGTTTCCTTAGACATAAAACTTTTTAACCATCTGCTTTCATGATTTAATTGTCTCTATAAAGTGCCTTGAGAAGATGTATGTCTGTGTGTGTGTGTGTATGTATATGTGTATGTATATATATGTGTGTGTATGTATATATGTGTGTGTATGTGTATATGTATATATATATATATATATATATACATGTGTGTGCGTGTATGTGTATATATATATATATATATATATATATATATATATATATATATATATATATATATATATATATATATATATATATATATATATATATATACATATACATATATGTGTGTGTGTATATATATATATACATATATATCCAAAAATCCTGTTTCATATTTTCAAAAACAGGTCAGCAACAATATTGGTAGAATATCATCTAAAAGATGGGTGCATGGTGTCCGTTTTATTATTTGCATTTTAATTACGAAATAAAAAATATATATTTGTCCTTTGTAACTTTATTCTTCTTGCTGTTATTATTGTTTTTAACTCATGTTTTATGATCTTACATTCGTTTGCCAGTAGGGGGCAGTGTTGCGCGCCACACTAGGCTCCAATGAAGGCTTGAGTTCTGTGGCACCAAACCAAGATAAAAGAAAAACAGCTTTAACTGGAGTGGATACTGGGGTCAGATATCAGATTAGATTTACTCTGAGTTTATTGGTAGCTTTAGGGCAAAATGAAATGAATGGTACTCTGACTTAGCTGGTGGTTATGAATCATCTGAAGTTCAACAGAAGATATTTGGTGTTTCAAGGCGTCTCATTTCAGTCTATCCAGAAAGCAAGTTAAAACTGAGACAAGCAAGTTATACAACTTGCTGGTTGTTCAAAAAATGTAACTAACATAAAAAGGAGAAATTGAAGTTTGTATGCTTTTCATGAACAGGAAAAAAATGTTTAGGGGCTCTTGGATCATGATTAAGAAGTAGTCAAGGATATTGATTTTATACATTAAACAATTTAAACAAAGAAAGGATGATCAATATGAATGAAAGACAATCTAACGGTTTCTACAGTACCTCATCCTAAGTCATTTTTGTCTGAAGACAATGTTTTTACCTCAACAAAAATGCCAGTAAAACAATCTTTAAGGGATAAATGCTGCTCTTTCCAGAGATATATATGTTTACATTTTGCGTCATAGATTTACACAGATTTAAAGCAGGACTCTAAATATTAATTTTGACTTGAGCACATAAAGGCACTCTAAATTGTGTAACTAAGTCATTACAAAATGAGCAGAATGAGATAAATTGGCTTTGCTTCTATTTGTAAATGGGGAAAAAATGGATTAAGTTACATTAAATCCTTTCATCTATGAGTTAATCTCTCATGTCCCATCTTTTCCATTTGTGAGAAACCCCTTTTATACAGCCTTTAAATATTTTTTCCACCATTCTTTTTAGGACTGAGTTTAAGGCGTACAAGGATGTGAAACCAGCGAAGCTGATCAAAGCTCCATCCCAGTATAAACCACCTGGAGAGGAGACCAGCCTGGAAACCAGCTACAGCGCCACATACAAGGGGGAGCAGGTGAAGGCGCAGGCAAATGACAACAAGCTGCTGGAGCGCCGAAGGATACGCAGCCTGTACAGCGAGCCGGGCAAGGAGCCCGCCAAGGTTGGAGACCCTCGTCAGTCTTTATCTATCCTGTGAAACAGGGCTATTGTTATGCTTTCTCCAAAAAGCTGGACTTAGATCCAATAAGCTTTTATCCTATGGATTGCATTTGTGTTAATACAGTGACCTGTTAACATTCTGATATATAATAGTCATCAGGTAACAGTGCCTTTAACTGACTCAATTTTAACCATAAAAAGAACATACACTCATTTCTGTTAATATATTAATTTCTTATTAAACACTAAATACTTGAAAGAAGTATGTTTATCTCATGAAGTAGACAAAAATATGTTTTCTTTCTTCCATAAAATCACTGCTGAGACATTATTGCCAGCCATATAACCCCCCTTAAATAAAAATAACTGAAGCATACCTTATTACCTAAAATAGATCAGAGTTAATTAGTAATCTATGACTTCCAAAGAAGTCCAATTGCCTATATGTTTTTATATGGTGCTGCTTTGTATTGTATGCCTCATATTGTACAGCACTTTATGATGCTTGTCTGAGAAAGGTGCTACATAAATAAACCTAACTGACTTGCTTACTTAATTCCTCTGTGGTAAAAATCAGAGCTAAAATAGTTCATAGGACTAATCAAACTGAGATAGTTATTGAACTGAAATTTACACTAAACATGCCATTTGCTAAACAAATACCTTACCTAGCGCAGTAATTAAGCCAAAATGACAAGAACAAGAGAATAAAAAATCTTCCTGTAAGTCTGCCCTATCCAGAACTCCTTAAAGGTTTAGTGGAAGATTTCCTCTTTCCGGGGGGATCATCTAAATAAGGCCATCCTACGCGCTCTTCCCCAGTTAGCTATTTTTTTCTCCGCATCTGCATGTTCAAGGTTGTGGTGAGCTACGGTTACAGCCAGTCTTTGAAGCTCACCGTTCTCGCAGCAGTATTTTGAAAATGGCAGGGGGTCCAAGAGAAAATGAGTCTGCGAAGTGTATGAGAAGAAAAGAAAGGCGTCAGAACGGGCAGATATATCCCAGAATGCTTTGCACAGAGAGCTCTCCTCGCAAAGCATTATGGGATTTGCTGTCATGGCGGCCCGCTGTTGCCATAGGCTATCGCTACCCCACAGCTACAACTAATAAGAGAGCTGGCGCAGGCACCACACAGTGGAGGCGGAGTTACGTGACCAACGGGGAGCAAAAAGCAGGGATAACCTGTCAAAACGGTCAGCTAACTGAGTTTGCTATGAAGTCCCCTATATAGTCCCTGCTCTATATAGTGATTGAAGGATTTAGGAGTTAGAGCCGACGTTTGGACACAGCTTGTATGAGATAGGAGAACAGCAACTTTTAAACAGCGGGTGCACGAGGAGAAACGGGCTCGTGCACGCTCTTGCACGCGTTTAATAGGCGTTCCCTCTCGGGAGCGAGTACAGGGTTGGGCAGGTGCATTTTTTTTAAAGTGGGGAGGGCAGGTCTATTTATTATCAGCATTTTACTTACAAAATAATGTCAGTATTAAAATGCTATAGCTATATTTGTCCTTTGTAATTTATTTTTGTTGCTGTTTTTTTTTTTACACAGGTCGTCCTACAGAAGGAATGGATGGCACACATAAAACAAATGTTTTATGATCTTACACTTTCTACTTTAGTACAAATAAGTAGACAGTTTAGTAGACAAAAATCCTCCACTACACCTTTAAGTAACATAGTTCTCTTCATTTGGTTAACATCCTGTAAAAAGAAAATCTCCCTTATAGATAAAAAATATAGTTAAAATTAAGTTATAGTTATCCCGATTCTTAAGGCAAACCAGCATACAAATGGTTCCTCGGATCAAGGAAAAATTGGACATTTCTAAAAATAAGTATGAGAATATGCTATAGGATCAGCAGATAAAGTTATTTTAAGGTATGTATCTTTATCAGAGTTGGAAATAAAGGCTTCTGCAAATAAGATATTTTTTCATCTCTATCACTAATACACAATACAGTTCTAAAGGCTTGATTCACCCCTCATTTCTTTCAATGCCACTTGCAAACAGCCAGATTTGAACTGATGTGTAAAAATGGGAGCAAACAAGAACCAAATAATAAAGACAAAAGACCTCTAAAAAGCTATCTAGAGATAGATCAGACCAGTTTAAAATGCAATAAGACCCTAGTTTCTTATTTCTTTTTATTTAAAAGAGGGGTGATTTAAAACTTTTGCAAAGTACCATGTGCATTCATGTAAAACTGGTTTCATCATGTGTCTTCAGTGGTTTGTTCATGTGGCCGCTCCCTCTCTCGTTCTTGTAGGATCTCTCAGAGACTGAGAGCAGCTCTGCTCCCCACCTGCTGTAGTCAGGTGTGTTTTCAGCTTCTTCTAGAAAAGCATGAAGACTTACCTCAGGTTAACCGAACGAATGCGGACATGCATTCTGGTCACGCACATTTTCACATCCTGAATGCATCCGGTCCTTAGCAAGCCTCAGACACATTTATCACCAAGCTGCTGGATGCAACCCTTCATCAGAACTATCAGATTCACTATCCGCCCACACCTCCTGCTGCACCAGCCTTCGTAGATCCAGTAGGAGGTAAAATGTTGTAAATAACTTGGAGACATCGACATTACGGGGCTGTCGAAGAATTAGAAGAAAAATAAAGAAATTTGTTTACATTTGGAGATTTTATGATGCTTATTTACATGAGTGGAAACAAGTTATTTGATGAGAGCTGTTTGCAGAGCGTGTCACATTTCTGTTGTGTGTTTTTCTGTGAAGATGCATTGTCTTTCTTCCAAACCTTCTTGAATATATTTCAACCTGCAGGTAGTTACATGAAGATTAGCATCAGTTTTACTGACATGAGAGAAATAAAACTTTTTGGCGCTCAGACCTCGTCACATTAGACATCTGTGCTGAATGCAGTAGATCTGTGCAAGCAGGATGATCTAGGCTGAAGAATAAAGAGAGCCATTGAGAGACAAGTGGAATGAAGGCAGGATTGCTGTTCAGCTGGAAAGGAAGATCATCCTTTGCTTTGAAAGTTTGCAGGGTCCTGAGCAATCATTGGCCGCAATAAGGTATTAGGTAGGGAGTAAAGGAATCGTCCGTTTTGAACCTATGACTAAGCGTCCTTAGCTTAGCACACAAAGTCATGTAGTTTTGGGGGTTTTCTACAGATTCTAAAAATGTTTTGCTGTGTAACTTGCCCTATTTACTTTGCACTAGGCATGGGCTGGTATAAGGGTGTGATTAAAACTAAAGTGGTTAACATAATTGTTTTGATTTTGCCCCAAAAGAATAGATAACGGTTTCTTTTTTGTGACATTTAGAAAGCAAATACATATATTATATAAACCTACTGAATGTAGTAGTTTTCAAGTATATATGGTTCAGATGATTATATTGCACAAAAATAACTGTTAACTGCTAAACACTGACATTGCCTTAAGTTTTTTTTAAACCTCATATAATAAGAGTGGCGGGTGGTGGCTCTCTTGTAAAGGAGGTAAAATTATAGCAGTTTCTTTCTGTCAGCTGACCTGCAGTGAAGAGGAAAAGGTTGGTGTTGTTACTCCAAATATGAAACATTTCCTGGTCACATCTTCATGTGATTTTAAAATGACAAAAAAATGGAGGAGCAAAAATTTGGGCTTTTACTTTTTAAAACTCTCGCCTCGCCTCATGCCTTCTTTGAAGTTCCCTCTGTTCACTCAGAAATAAAACACTGCATTATTACTGCCAGAACCAGACCTAATTTTTTTAAGTTTATTTTTTCAAACAAAAGTTGAGCATGTTTTCCAACTTTTTTTTTTTTTTTTGCTTAATGCAAGATCATTTGTAGAAGTTGGAAGGTTTTCCATTGGATGCTTAAAATTTTATTTTTTGTTTTTACTGTAGTGCAGAATGACACTCGGTGGCTTGCTTACAGCAACACTCAGATTTTCTATCTATATATGAATTAGCAAGCTGCAGCTACAAGTATGCTTGTTAGGTCTCTGCTGGTCGGCCCTGCTAAAAATGTCCGAACCAAAGTATACGGTTCTGAAAAAACTAAGACTAACATTATATTTGAATTGACTGTTTAAAAAAAAAATACAAAGAGACTGCATGAACCACCATTCTATGGAAAGAAGGAACACATACTTCTTCTTTTATGTTTTTTTTTTCTTTCTTCTAACTGCACTAACCACATGCTATTTACATCACCTGTGCCGTCAGGGAACGTTTTTGTAAGAGGAAAGGTAAAAAAATAAAGGTATTGATTGCATGTGAAAATGGGAATTTTACTTTATAAATTATGTTTTAGGCACATTTTGTTAAATGTGTTGAGTGTTTTTTTTTCTGATTTTACAAAATAATCTTTTTTTTTTCTCTGGGTAATTGTTAAATATTAAGCTATAGCCAGCAGCTGAATATCTTAGCTATACTTAAAGCTTACATGAAAATGTCTGGGATTTTAAGCATTGCATCTGGTCTAAGGTGTAGGGCTGTAGTTTCTTTCATGCACTAAACTCATGATTTCAATTTAAATGTTGATGTCTAAAAAAAGAAAGTTCTGATTATGCTGATATCTCTAGTGTCAACTTATTTTCAAATATATGATTGCAAAAATTTAGCAGCTAATATAATAGTAAAGTTCAGTCATCCTTAGGACAGTACTGATATAGAGCTAGGTGCCATAAAACCATCCACAAATGTAAACTAGACATTCAACTCGTAAACATTATGATGAATATAAGGTGACCTAAACTGACCTGCATCTACAGAGGGTTGAAATATGCGTGACAAGAGAAAGGGTGAGAAGCTAATTAAAGGAGACATGGCATGCTTTTAAAACTTTTCTTTTCCAATTTAAATTATTCAGCCTACAGAAAAATAAAGGCTGCTGAGAAGATTTTAGGGTTGGTTTTGGGGCTAATCAAGCCTGAAATCCGGCATTTTTATTTTGGCTATATCTGGATGTGATGCATGGCCCCTGAAAAAAGTTAAAATTTTATTTTAAATATGGTAATACATAGCCAGGGTCTATTTTGAGATTCTCAAGGATTGATATCCCTTTTTTGTGCGATTTTAACACAGATATAAAATAAAAATACTTTTCCAAACAATAAATGTTAATTCTTTTAAAATGGATATTATTGCAGGAATGGATTTCAATGTCTAGCAACAAGTTGAAGAGGGGAGTTATTTTTTGTCTGCTGACTGAAAGGTCTCTAAACCATCAGAATGGAATAACAAAATACTTTTACATGTGCAACCTGGTACACATGACATACTGTAACTTGAAATTGGTAACTGCTTATATGAGCATAGCAACATGCCAAAAAAAATTGATGCGCACAAACTTTTAATGTCTTGAGACTTGTCTATAAAGCACCACTTAAATGGTTGCTGATGTTGTCTGGTTCTTGTTTCCATCAATACTCCTTTACATACACCGAGATAATACTAATAAGGACACTTACTTTTAGGTATTAACATGGTTTAGCATATTTTTAGCCTGTGGCAGTTTGCAAAGCTAAGGTAGACAGCAGTTGGCTTTAGCTTCAAACTAAACCATGATATGTGTCCCTGAAGAAAGAAAATGGATTTGAGATAAATCCTCAGATATTTGATTTTTACCCGTCTTCAATTTTTCAGATGGACAAACCAGCGTCTCGCACCAAACCAAAAAAGGCTCCCACAACAGCAACTGCAAAGATGGCAAAAAAAGCTAAAGAGAAGCTGATTCCTGGTTTGGCCAAGAAGAAAACATCTGTGAGCACACCGGAAACCACACCAGAGGGAACTGTGACAAAGAAGAGCAAAGAGATCAGCAACAGACTGGCTGAAGCCAAGCATTAGACAGCAGTTAGGTTGTATGCTCTAAACAGTGTGATAACAGGCAATGAGAAGGAAATGATTTTCTTCCTTTTGGTTTATCTCCTCACCTATCGCCAGGTTACACGTAGGATGTAGGATGAATGATGTTAGGCTTTTAGAATAATGCAAATAATTTCTCTGTAAACTGTATGTGAACATATGAATGTTTGTGACTTCTTTGTATTCTGGTACAGATAACAGCTTTTCTGTTACTGAGCACATAATTTGCACATGAGTTTCACTTGACATTAAACTTGAAAATGAGACATAAGTATGCTTGCACAGTACTGTAAAAAAAAAAAAAAAAAAAAAGGCCAGAGCTACCCCTCATTACTTTCAATTTTGCCTTAAAACAGTCAGACCTTTGAGTAGGTTTTCAGCCATATTTCTCCAGACTTTTGCAGGTATCAGTGTCTTGGACCTTACAAATCTTTTTTTGCTTGCCACTTGAGCCTTATAACCAGATCATTTATTCTAACCGTAATCATTGTTACACTTGTAAAACGTATGTTGTTAACGCTTTGTTTCAATCTTAAAAAAGCAAAAAATGTCAATCTTTGTAAACTGTTTTCCTGTAAGTTATGCTAAACAAACAGGCAAAAGTAATGTATCTGTGACTTGTTTAATTGTTGCAGGTTTAATAGCCAATTCAGGAAATGTTATGCATGAATTATCATACTCATCGGCTTCCGCTTTATCTGGCACTAGGTCGTGTGGGCAGCAGTCTCAGCAGAGGATCCCAGATTTACCTCTCCCCAGACACCTCCTCCAGCTTTGCTGTGGGGAATCTGAGGCGTTCCCAGGCCAGCCAAGAGACATAGGCTGTGTCCTTACATCCACCCTAACCCCTAAATCCCTCAATCACTATATAGAGTGGGCACTTTATAGTGAACTCAGTTAAATGACCATTCGGACAGATGATCACTACTTTTCGCTCCCTGTTGGTCACGTAACTCCGCCTCCCCGCACAATACCTGCGCCATCTTTGTTATTTGTCGACGCTGTCGGATAGTGATAGCCTAAGGTGACTGAGGGCCGCTGTGGCAACAAATCCCATGATGCTTTGCATGGACAGCTCTCCTCGCAAAGCATTCTGGGACATATCTGCTCCTCTAGTGACATTGAATGATCACTACTTTTCAAGGTGCATTGTGGGAAATTTTAAGCCCACTACTTTTTCATCTACCAGACATTCCAGCACTCATCTAAAATGGCTTAGCCACTAGTGCATAGTGCCCTATATAGTGATTAAGGCTGACCTTTGGCCATAGTCTCTCCAGCCTGTCCTGGTTCATCCTCTTGGCCTCCAGCTGGTGGGAAGTGCCTGGAATACCTCCTATGGGAGGCATCCAGGGGGCATCTGAAAAAGATGTCCTCCGCTGACTCCTCTCGATTCTGCAGGAGAAGCAGCTCTACTCCGAGCCCCTCACAAATGCCTGAGCTCCTCGCCCTATCTCTAAGGGAGAGCCCAGGCACCCTGCGGAGGAAGCTAATTTTGGGCAGATTTCATGACCACGTTCGAGGGTAGGAATGTAGACCGACCGGCAAATCAACAGCTTTGCCTTTTCAGTCAACTTGCTTTTCTCTACAATTGCAGCATTTGCATTATAGCAGCAGCTGGACCAATCATTATCAATCTCCTGTTCCATACTCCCCTCACTCGTGAACAGGACCCCAAAAATAATTGAACTCCTCCAATTGAGGCAGGAACTCTCCTACAGCCTGAAGGGAAAGAACTGATTCTCATCTTGGCCGCTTCGCACTCGGCTGCGGACCGACCCAGTCCATGCTGTAGGTCTTGGCAAGAGAAAGCCACCTGAACTACATCTTTATTTGTAGGTTAATTATTGAAGGTGGCTTTGTGAAAAATAAGAGATAATTTCCACATAAAAAGTAAGTGACTGGAATGAAACATCTATGAAATGCAGGTATTAATCAACAAACCACTGCTAGAAGGTCTGGAGAACTTGTGCTCAAACCTGCTTAAAAAGCACTCTTAAAAGTTTTGAAGCTGCTTTCACACTTTTTTTCATCTTCAAAAGTTTTTGTAAGTCAGAGATTATTGATCTATACACAGCCTACGAGTTCCTCCAAGTAATGAAAAGGATGAAAAGATAGATCCAACTTCCCTAACACTTCACAGACTTCAAGCATCTGGCATGCTGAGATGCACTAATCTTCACTAGTGCAAACAAAGCATCTGCATAACAATACATGACATTTCGACTACCAGTAGTCGTTAATTGTGAATTTGAATTGAAAATACATAAATTAGTGAGGACACGTAAGGCATGGTGGAAGTGTGTCAGGAGTCGCCATCATGTGATATCCAAATGGTGCTTGCAGCAGGAAAGAAGGAAAGATGAGGCTGTATGCTTCCTAAAACAATTCAGTTACCATATGGGAAATACTGATATTCCTAGATGCAGCTAAGAGCTATAACCTTACTTCCAATAGTTTGTGTGACAGGACATAGAGGCATAACCCACCTCATGGATTTTAACAAAAATACACAATTTCTTCACCTGTATTCTGGATGGTACATACAAATAGAGAGACTTTCATATGTTTAGGGTTTTATAATGGAGAGCTGCAGCTTTTCATTACATTCGTGTAACTTTTGTTTTTGTAGTTCTTTTCTGGAAGGCTGTATTTCCCAATTTAACAAGCATCATTCATGTGCGTGTCCGTCGCATGATAACATCCATAAGGCTGAAGGATGTCCAAATTCAACACAACAATCCAGAGTTCCTTTACTATCCTGGATAATGTTCTTACTACTGATCTAGTGAAAAGGGAATTAAGAGATATAGGAGCAGGGGCTACAATTTTATATTTGGAAGGATTTTTTTTTTTCACTGAGGATGTTCTCTTCATCTGACAAGATGTGAATCCAGTTAGTTTAAAAGCTAACAACCCAGAGATCAGGGTTCTTGGATTGTTGGACTGAGTGTGTGTTGTATCATTCTTTATCAGCCTCAGTGCTGATATCTGTACCATTTGTGATTCTATAAGTTAAGTGATTCTTAGATTATTTTAACGTGGATTCGTGAATGAAGGATGTGAAAGCTATTACATTTATATATCTTTGAAATCTGAGGTAGATGTACAATAGATGAGGGTATAAGGTAATGAGGGTTGGCTCAAGACTTTTTCACAGTGTTGAAATGTGTCTAAAAGGTTTTTTTTTTTCTTGGAATGGATGAGGACTAAGACAAAACCTGACATGATTGTAAAAAAAAAAAAAAAAAAAAAACAAATCTGTCAAAAAGCTACTTTTTTTTCAATCGCATCTCGAGTGTTTTTGCAAAAGCTCTGGTTTTATGGTTTCTTACTCATAGTGCCTCCGCTGTATGGTCCTGGTTTTCATTTCATTGTTCCGGGTGAGATCTGGTTTAATCTGATTGGCTGCTGAAAAATCCAATTAACTGTAATGTAATTACCGCAGCATGCATGCAAGATCTTACTTTTGTTCGAGTAGCAGACTGTATCCGGTCACAGTTGCTCTCTTGCTTGTACATGAAGCCTTTAAATATAAATGTATAAGAGAAATATCTTTTTTTCCAAGTATGATGCATGAGTAGAAATAGATTCTGTTCAAGATTAAACCCACATTTAAATGGTAGTCTTATTGATTAGTGGCTGGTACTGCTGTATAATAAACACACCAGCAATATGGCTTCATTCACAAAGATATTTTTAATCTACATTGAATCACATTCCTTTTATTTAAGTTAAAAATAGCAGATTACTGAAAAAGAATCTAGCCTTTGTGGCAATATCCTCCACAAACTCTGCAGAGCTGTAATAAAATTGTTGAACTGATAAGAAAAAAAAAACAGGCAAAATATGCATAAAGGTCTAAAAAAGAAGAAACTTACTGAACTGACCGATCTCTCCAGGTGTTTAAGGACAAGAAATGAGCCAGGACTTTAAGCTCGGCTCTTTAAAATGCTGCTGAGCGTTTCTTTGTGAGTGTGTGTGAGTTGGGAAGCTTGTTTCTGTGTCGTATCTCCTCAAGCCTGCTGCCTGCTAAGATCACAACCAATAGAAGTGCTGCTTTACACCCCAACACCTTGGTGCTATATTTCTCATCCTATACACTGTGGGGTTTGGACCTCTGAATTCAGACTAGAGTGAAGTGACGATGTCATACAACTGCAGTTGTGTTGTGATTCTTATTTGTGCTCGTATCCTTAGCTTGCTCTGAATTAATTGAATTAAAATATTGGTGCAGAAACAAATGTTGAAACTTATTGCATTAACATTAAACACCAATGCATACATTAGTGTAAAAAAAAACATCTTCGCAGTGATATCTCAGTAATAGACATGAGTCACATTGTTACTTTTCAAATTAGATTCAGAATCCAAGTATTTATTTGAATTTATCAAAAGCAAGACTCAAACCAAATTATTATTTACAATGTTTTTTAATGGCACATCTATTGCTTTTTATTCAAATTATTTTATTATTTCACTATGCCCCTCCCAACAAACAATAAAATAGGGATATACAGTAGCTGGTAAAACTGTACATACTCCTGTTAAAACTTTTCATATATAACATTCCATATATCCTCTGTATTTCGACAACAAATAAAATGCACATACACATGATGGATAAATATAACTAAATAAAAAGATGCAATTATTACTTTGCATGTAGTCTTAAGTTTATTACTGCAAGCAGTCAACGTGAATGAGTTTAACATGAATTAAAGCTCAGTTGTCCTACTAGCATTTTCTCATTTTCATCTTTTAGATATAGTAATAGTTTGCAGTGCAAACAGGATGGAATAGGATGAAAAATTGTGTCCTTGTTCAAAGCTTGTGTTCAAAGAAGGTTACAAGAATATTCTAAAGCATTGTAGATTCCAGATAAGAAAGCATCTGGACCATCAAATATCTTTGTATAGAATGCGTTATGGTCTGATGAAACCAAACTTGGGACTTTAAGATCAAAACCTCCGACTGCCTGCTGAAAAATACTAAAGATTCAGTTTGGTTTTTATTTTTTTCATTCGGAATGCAGATTTTAGATTATTAGATTTCATGTGTATAGAATATTGAACAGCAACACAATGCTGACCAAAGTATTTCAGATTAAGGTGAAAAGAAACAAAAAAGCAGAACAAAAGCCATAAAACTGATGAATATTTTTTTTTTAACTGGCTAAGTTGAGTATTACTCTAGGAATATTCACAATTCTCTTGTTTGGTTTGTTTTGTTTTTGTAGAATTGTACAAGATTTATATTAAGAAGTTTGAAATTATTTACTTAAGGAAAGAAAAAGAATGCAAATACGTTTT